TAGAGGCAAAACCAGAAGCAATTTGACCTAAGAATTTCGTTGCGAATCCTACAGAAAATTACTTCAGAAGTCTGATCTCTTCCTAGAAGGATAACAGACTTCTAAATGACAGCTGGCAGACATTAGCTGGACTCAAAAAATGAGAACCCAGATAAGCAAGTCTCCCAAACAAAAACCTGCACAGACAAATGTGATAAAAGGCTGAGGAGGAGAAGAGTTTGTTAGCATAAATGATTATGAAAGTATTAATTTTCTATTGGCCATTAATATACCACAAACCCAAACTTATCATAACAATCATAATTATTATGAAAGTAACCAAAACCAGTCACAATGCAAATCAAAAGCAAATATAGTTATTTCTAAAAACAAGAAAATCTATAGTTTGCATAAAATACAAGTTAGGCAAAAATACCTTACTCTATTTTACATCAGTAGCTTTTCTCCACTGTATTAAATGATTTGAAATAGTCCAGTTTTTTTACAACTTTAAAAAAGTATTTAAAAAAAACTAAGAGCACAATTGAGCTTTTAGTCTGTTAATTGATTAAATAGTTGTAAATAACCATATGAGCTTGCTGGCCTAATTTGTAGCTAGAACTATTTTAAGATGATCAATACAAAACCTTCCTCACTTATTTCTAGCCATTTATACACGAGTACGAACGTTTTTGGCCTTCTTAATAGGCCTTCCTCAGATACACTGTGGTCTGTTAGAGCGTCGGTTGGTAGAAGTTTAAACAGTGACAATGTTTACATAGGTATCGTCTTACTAGTGACGTCATCGTTGATGATAGGTATAGACGATACCGAGGGTGAAAAATTCTTTCTTTTGGTAAAAAAGGGAGGTGTGCAGATAGTTCATGATGACAATCGCTAAAGTTAGGGAATAAAATTGTAAAATAAGCGCGCTACATAAAGAAGATGAACTATCACGATAGGTGGTGCATCATAGTTGACGCCGTAACTAGCTAACACTATAGTAAGAAAAGGCATGCGAATGACCATATATGGGAAAGGTGCTACATTTGGAAAGCAGAATTGGAAAATAAACGCGACAAGTAAAAAAGCGCTAACGGTTGCAGCGCAGCAAGGGCAGTTTGGTCTATTTAGTTTAAGGGGTTGTCGAAGAGTGATTGCCATGCGGAGGAGAGCGAGTCTGCATCTCTGCTGTTGATACAACCGTCTTCAAGGGATTGCTTAAATATTTCAATCATTTCAACCGTTCTAAGCTTGGTGCGGTCGTGCATAGGAATAATAATCTTTGCCTCTTCCCATTTGGTCATTATACTAGGTTCGCTTGCAAACTGGGCTAGGGTGGAAGTGAACTTTTTGTTGTATATGTCGTATTTGTGCTCAGCTATCCTCCTTTTAAGTGATCTATTGGTTGAGCCAATGTATGTTAGTTTTTTGCACGGGTTAGATCTGCTGTCCTCTAGTGGGACCGTGTAGACTCCTGGTCTCTTGGCTTCACTGCATTTGTCCTTGGTATTAGCCAGAAGTTTATAAATCGTAGGGCTGTGTCTGTATGCGAGAGTAGCATTGACCTTTTTTGCTATGAATTTAAAGGCTTGGCTCATTCTAGGGTCAAAACCTATCATCAACTATCTGCACACCTCCCTTTTTTACCAAAAGAAAGAATTTTTCGCCCTCGGTATCGTCTATACCTATCATCAATGATGACGTCATTAGTAAGACGATACCTATGTAAATATTGTCACCGTTTAAACTTCTACCAACCGACGCTCTAACAGATCACAGTGCACCTGAGGAAGGCCTATTAAGAAGGCCGAAAACGTTTGTACTCATGTAGAAATGGCTAGAAATAAGTGAGGAAGGTTTTGTATTGATCATCTTAAAATAGTTCTAGCTACAAATGCACTGAAGTGTAAACATGGCGTCGCCGGCCAAGTTGTATAGAAAGAGCGTCTTAGCTGTAACAAGAACCAGAGAAAAACTCAACTTCTTGTGGGGCTGCAAACAGAACAAGGTATTTCCAATGTCAATCCACAGGCTCAGTTTACGAATGGGTTGCTCTTCACTTAACCCCAAAAGTCAAATATGTCTGCCTTAGAAAAGCAATTCGGAACACCAAGAAGTGTATGTATGCTTACCTACAGAAACTAATCGATTTTGAGAACACTGTATTTAATATGGACCCGGATCTTCTGGGGCTCTTCAACTCTAGGGTTATAAGCTTGTAGGAACAGTTTCAGCAGTCACTTCGCAAGATGTATGCCAGGAAAATGCTTTGGATTATGAAAAACCAAAAGAAGCCACACAAAAACAAGCTAAGAAATCCGATAGTCTGCTGGGAGAATATTAAACCATTGGAGGAAATGATTCAGGTATTCAAATTTGGACCTATGTTTGCTCCGAAGTCCTTGAAGATCTCAGCACATACCATCATTCCGAACATCAAAAAGCGCTTGTGCCAATTAAGGCTCAGCATAAGGATTTCTTTAGGTGGAACACGGTTCTCAGCAAAAAAATCAAAGAAACAGACAACAAGGATAATGAATTCTGGACAAATGTAAGTAAAAGTAAAGAATGACTCCAAACTAACGAAATAATCCTTACCAGAGCAGATGAAAGCAGAAACATTGTTCTTATGAAGAAACATGCATACACTAAGTTGCTCGAAGAATACATCAGTTCTACAGAATGCGGAACAATAGATGAAGGATACTTAGACAAGTTCCATAATAGAGTTTCCAGATTCACCAACTCACCACTAGCTAAATGCCTGCAACTAGGAAATGCTACCATGCAATCACCTGAGATATCGCGGCTATTCGGCTATGCTAAAACCCATAAACCAGGCAGGCAAATCAGGCTGATTGTTGACAAATCAAGATTGCCAACCTTACCTATTGAGAAGGGTCTGCATGAGCTCCTCAAAAGCCATTTGAAAGATTATAGTTACACCATTTTGAACACTCGGGAACTCATCACTAAATTACAGAATATTGCTCTGACTGATCAGGAATGTATTACAGTTCTAAACTTTGAAACTATGTATCCTTCCATTAAATTGGAACCATGCTTCTGTGCCCTTAGAGATTTTCTCTTCCAAGCCTCTCCACATACCACAAGCAGGTGTTGGAGCTTGCTCATCTAATGTACTACACCTCATTCTTCACTTTCAACCAGCAAATCTATCTACAAGAAAGGGGAGTTCTAATGGGTAGCCCCCTCTCTGGAGACCTCTGTGAATTAATTGTTAGAAAATTAGATAGCCAACTGTTACAGTCCTTCAATGCAGAAATCATTCTTTACATGCACTATGTCAATGATATTCTTATTATTTGAAAATCCAAGTCATATAAATGCCATACTGCATATAGTGAACAACAACCCTTTTGGACTTAAGCTAAAGTTAGATCAGCAGGATGATAAGATGGCCCATTTCCTTGACCTCAGTATCTTCTTGAATCATGGCTGCATAACCACAAATTGTTCCATAAGCCTAATCTTCAATCTTTCTTTATCCCTGCAATCTCGAATGACCCCTTATAAAATATCTTCTTTCAGGGCTCTAATCCGCAGAGCTTTTACCCATTGCTCTAACATTAAGGATGCACTACGAGAAATCCAATGCATCAAGCGCCTTGCCACAGCCCACGGTTTCAACAGTAAAGTTATTGATAGGCTTGCACAAAAAATTCATAGATGCGTAACAACCGAAGTTGTCAATTCCAAACCTCTAAAGCAACGAAGTAAGTGCATTACTGTCGATTTTGAACCTAGAATGAGCCAAGCCTTTAAATTCATAGCAAAAAAGGTCAATGCTACTCTCGCATACAGACACAGCCCTACGATTTATAAACTTCTGGCTAATACCAAGGACAAATGCAGTGAAGCCAGGAGACCAGGAGTCTACACGGTCCCACTAGAGGACAGCAGATCTAACCCGTGCAAAAAACTAACATACATTGGCTCAACCAATAGATCACTTAAAAGGAGGATAGCTGAGCACAAATACAACATATACAACAAAAAGTTCACTTCCACCCTAGCCCAGTTTGCAAGCGAACCTAGTATAATGACCAAATGGGAAGAGGCAAAGATTATTATTCCTATGCACGACCGCACCAAGCTTAGAACGGTTGAAACGATTGAAATATTTAAGCAATCCCTCAAAGACGGTTGTATCAACAGCAGAGATGCAGACTCGCTCTCCTCCGCATGGCAATCACTCTTCGACAACCCCTTAAACTAAATAGACCAAACTGCCCTTGCTGCGCTGCAACCGTTAGCGCTTTTTTACTTGTCGCGTTTATTTTCCAATTCTGCTTTCCAAATGTAGCACCTTTCCCATATATGATCATTCGCATGCCTTTTCTTACTATAGTGTTAGCTAGTTACGGCGTCAACTATGACGTCACCCCCTATCGTGATAGTGCATCTTCTTTACGTAGCACACTTATTTTACAATTTTATATTTATCATAAATAATTTCATCATCACATGATTTCCAGTTGAAAAATTTATACACTTTTTCTGTTCAATTTTTATTTGCTTTAGTTTTAAGTTTTTCAACAAAATAACAATTGTTTATTATTTTCTGTTGTTATAATGGATGCTCTCAAGGGAACTCCAAAGAAAGAAATCATTATACTATGATGACAAAGCATAAAGCCAATTCAGTGAACAAGAACTAGACTCCAATATGATGCATTGTATTCATTGTTACAATTTTAATAGCTAATAGTGTAATTTTAAGGAAAAAGGATGGAATATATCCTAGCTTTTAAGTCTACCTTATCTCCACATTGACTAAAGATCGGGCGTAAATAATATATATTTCTAATTATATTTGACTGCTGAATTAGTATTAGTTTTTTGCATAAATTAATGTAAACAATTATTTATTAAATTCAATTTTTAATTAATTATGAAAAGATGAAGATTTTTTATATGTTTGTTTATTTTTTTTTTAAATTATATGTAGAATTATATTTTAATTATTATTATCATTATTATATATATGTATATATATTTTTTTGTAGAAACTGTTAAGAATTTAGGTCCACATACGTTAATTTTGCAAGCAATGCTAAATGAAGGTGAAACTGTTTTATGTTCTGGCAAAGAGTTACCATCTCATAAGATAAAATTTGTAGTAACAGGTGAGTTAAATTATTTAAAAGAATTTATAATAAACTTAATAATAATTGATTAATTAGAAAAAATTATTTTGGTTTAAAAGTATTGTCTTAAGACTGGTTTACCCAATAGACTACTGCTGACATTTCGCAGTACCCAAAAACATGCAGACAAGATTTGTTGGCAATTTAGATGTTTATACATTCCACTGGAATACAATTTATGAGTCATTCTGAGCATATGCTAGACCATTAATTTTCTCAAGAATGGTGAGAATCCAATTTAACATATGATGTTGATCTCATCATTTATTGGTTCAATGATGCAACTCTGAGTGAAAAATCTGACATGCTAGTGAAATGATTGTGTCTTGTAGAACCAAGATTGCCAATAAGTTGCAAGTTTGTTCAAATGGGGAAAATATGCGTGTATTTTGGTATGAAGAATAAAATATTGATCTATTTTCAATATTTTATTCTTCATACCAAAATACACGCATTTGAACAAACTTGCAACTTATTGGCAATCTTGGTTCTACAAGTAGTTAGTAGTTACATGTAAGTATTGAAAATGCTAAAAAAAATAATAATTTATTAATGTTATTATTAGTAATATTTTGTTATATAGCTTAACATTGTTAAACATTCAAAATTATTTTATTTCTAATATGAGAGATTAAAAATTGCACAAAAAAAATACAATATTTAGATTTATTAGAAATTGAAAAATAATTTTAATTATATTATTGTATTATAAGTTCTGTAGAGTAAATTATCAACACTGGAATAAAATAATAAAGATATAAATTTACTTACCATAGTGCCATCTGATAATTACAGACAAAAATAAATTGTTAATAATTATGTGATTTAAACACTGTTTTTTTTTTTTTTTTCAAAAAAATTTACAATGACAAACTTCCATGAATCCTGTGTAATTAACTTCTTATATTTATCATTTTTTACTAAATGACAAATATATTAGTTTTCAATACATTTGCATTTTAGTTTTTTATATTTATGAATAAAAATGATTTTATATGACTGAAACTAACCAGTTTCTATTTTATCATTATTTCAAATATAAAAATTTTAATTTATTTTTATATTTGAAATAATGTATAATGATGTATTTTATTTCAAAGGAAACTAATAACTGTTTTTTTTGTTTAGAAGCTGAACCTGAAAAATTTACAGTTGGTGTATTAGATGGACCTTTCAGAGTTGGATCACCATTCCAAATACCTCTTGAATTTCAGGATAAATTTGGAAATCCTACAAAACCTAGTAATGATTTAAAACCAATCCTTAAAGCAGCGTAAGTGATCACCCTTCTTTTGTTAAAATATTTTTCAATATATTTAAAATAATATTTTCAATTAAAAATAAAATACAGTAGACCCCCCTATAAAACGGGTTCCTATAATTACGATTCCTATAAGACAGCGAAAAAATTGCGACGGTATCTGTAAAAAACTGGTAAAAAAACTCCTATAATT